CGTGTGTTAATCAAGTGAGCTAATCCCTGCTCTGAAAGCTAATTCCCCCTCTTTTGAAATTTTCTATTTTTTTTTTTTTAACTTTTGTATTGGTATAATAAAATAGCTAAAAACTTTATCATTGAGGGAGTTAGCAAGATTTCAGTCACCCCCCCCCCACCCCCCAACCAGGACTATTTCCCTAAGCGCAGCAGAGGGAAATAGTAATTACTGGTCTTGGGGAACTGGAATCTTGCCAACTCCCTCAATGATATACTTTAACTGTATATTAATACATGTACATGTAGACTGTAGCACGGGATATAACAAATTCTGATGAATTAATAATCTAAAGAATAATGGGTTTACCCTGGGGAGATACTAGAGCCTTGGTTCACTGATCATTATACCTTTTAAAGATCCAATCAAAAATATTACTATCACCAGCACAGGGTATAACTTAACTTTAAATTACAGGGATAATATAAGAATAAAATGTTTTGCTGATGTTCATTGACATAAAACAACTATCTAATGTTGTATTACAATTGATTGACTTACAATGTTTCCCCTCATGGTGGCAATAAATGCGGACTTGAGTCGGGCCGTTCTGTCTTCACTCATAGACAATTCCTGCATTTTAGCGTGGCTGGCCGTCAATACTGACTACAAAGACATCAAATTCAGCTGGTTTGTAACAATGCATTTTCGATACAAAGTATATGCAATAATTTCCACTGAACAAAGAGTATGCACTAGGACTATTTGTAAATGACAGAGAATTTCAGAAATTTACCATGTCCATTGTGGTGAGGTCTTGTGAAGGCTCCTCCATAATACTGGAAATATTTAAGATCATAATAAATTGATGCTAAGACATTTTTATACAAAAAGAAATAGAAAATTTCTATGACATGCTATGATTCTAAAATAATTTAAGAAGTAATGTCTGATAAATTAATGCCCTGTTCACACGGCAAGTTTAATTCGCAGTAAATTAATGCGAAGTAAATGCGAAGTAAAATAATGCGAATTAAAATAATGCGAATTAAATTGCGTTCACACGACAGCTAATGCGAAGTAAACTAATGCGAATTAAAATTCTACTTCTACGGCCAGGCGTCAGTAAGGCTATTATGACGTTATTTGCAAATCACGTCACCTTAAGCAGGAGCAGATGCATTTGACATAATGTTACAGTGTCTGTACAAACACTTTAGTGATTAACACAATTTTCCATAGTTTTTCACTAAAAAATAGCACAAATACTTCAAGCTGACCACGGACATGTGGCATTTGACCTAATTTTGCCATTACACATGCCTCAAAATTTAATTTGGATTAGCTTCGCTTAGCGTTCACACGGAGCTAATGCGAAGTAATTTAATGCACAGTAAACTAATTCGAACTAATTCGCAATAAATTCTTCGTGTGAACGCTAAGCGAAGCTAATTTGCAGTAACTTTACGTTTAATTCGAATTAAGCTCTCCGTGTGAACAGGGCATGAATTTTATTTGTATAAATACAGATTAACAAGTACTTTTGAAATATTTTATAAAACAAGAGGCCCATGGGCCACATCCCTCACCTGAGAAGCTTTGACCATTCTGTTCTTTACCAGATTTCCCCCTTGTAATACATAATGCATCCCCACCCTACCCCACTGATCATAATTTAGACATTGTGAAATCTACACTACCCCAGGATCCTTCCATGTGCACATAAGTTTCAGCTATTCTGGCCCAGTGGTTCTTGAGAAGAAGATTTCAAAGATTTTTCCTATATATTTCTATGTCAAACTTTGATTCCCAATTGTGGCCCCGCCCTTCCCCTGGGGGTCATGATTTGAACAATTTAGAATCTACACTACCCCAGGATGCTTCCACTTAAGTTTCAGCTTTTCTGGCCCAGTGGTTCTTGAGAAGAAGATTTTCAAAGATTTTTCCTATATATTTCTATGTAAAATTTTGATTCCCCATTGTGGCCCCGCCCTTCCCCGGGGGGTCATGATTTGAACAATTTAGAATCTACACTATACCAGGATGCTTCCACATAAATTTCAGCTTTTCTTGCCCAGTGGTTCTTGAGAAGAAGATTTTCAAAGATTTTTCCTATATATTTCTATGTCAAACTTTGATTCCCCATTGTGGCCCCGCCCTTTCCCATGGGGGTCATAATTTGAACAATTTAGAATCTACACTATACCAGGATGCTTCCACGTAAGTTTCAGCTTTTCTGGCTCAGTGGTTCTTGAGAAGAAGATTTTTTAATGACCCCACCCTATTTTTGTCTTTTCTTGATTATCTCCCCTTGTGGGGGGACTTGGCCCTTTAACAATTTAAATTTCCCTTTACCCAAGGACGCTTTGTACCAAGTTTGGTCAAAATTGGCCCTGTGGTTCTTGAGAAGAAGTTGAAAATGTGTAAAGTTTACGGACGGATGGAGGACGGACAAAATGTGATCAGAAAAGCTCACTTGAGCCTTCCGCTCAGGTGAGCTAAAAATTATTCTTCAAATGGAATATCTTATAATTTTAAATGTCCTGCTCTTGCAAACACACTTTTCATGAGATAAACCCATTTTTTTAGGGTATTTAATAATTTTGTTTCAATTCCAGACCTGACTTCCTGTTTCTGTGGAGCACTGATGGAAAACAGTCCCACACTGCCTGAGAAAAAAACTCCCACTCCATCACAAGATCCTAGGAAAAATATATTACAGATATTTTAGTACGTATATCTTGTAGTTTCTAGTTCCAATACATCTACTTTTATCTCTGCACATATCATTAACTTTCCAGCTTTTTGAAAATAATAAAATTTGTAACTTCTTAATTATGCCTCCTTGTTAAAAGTCTTATATGTAGCCCTTCAGTTAAAAAAAATTACCAATGAAAAATATGCTTTGAGGCATCTTTGACTGAGTAAGGCCTAAAGATTTTGGAGAAACATTAATGAGGTTTCGTCTCAGATGAACTGTTAACCCAGTCTTACCTGCCCCCAAAATGTGACCCCCAGGCTGCTGTAGATTTACTACCTCATTGGATGGACCTGAAATATAAAATACCTGTATAATCTCTTCTATATTAACGTGTCCATTTGTTTAGAGACAGGTTTTGTTATAAGTATGTAACAGCTGAGAAAAACATATGACTTCTGATAAAATACAATTTCTCTCTTCAAATTAAGTGTGATTAAAGTTTAACTTCAAGATGCGACCTGTCAGTAAAAATTGAAGATAAATTTTCATGGAATTAAGATATCAAGGTTGAAACAAAACTTGGACCATTCACCAACCTTGACATACACCTGACATTTTATACAACAATCAATGCACTGAATAATGTCTATCTTGTGGAGTGATACATTTACCTGGTACAAACAGGATCTGGTCCCTGTTATAAATGTATGCAGTAGTGGTGGTAGGATCAGCTAACAACAGTTTATACTTCTGAAGGCTGTACTCAAAATCATCCTGTACAGTGATAGGAAATAAAACTTTTATTATTCCTATTTATCTGGCACTGCAATGGATGAATTTCTTTTCCAGAAATGTGTATATAATTTTATTTGTTTTAAAAAGTTGTACTGCACAAGTTAAACAAAGACAAGTTCAGAAATACACAGTATTTTTCTTGTAAGGCCTAGAAAAAAAATATGTTTGTTTCCGCTTTCCGACCAACCCTAATTTATAGTGCCGACCCTAAATATTTTTTTAATGCTTTTGTCCCTTGTCATGATGATATGCAAAATCTCACCCAGGGAATTATAGTCTCCAACTCTGCAAGCTTTTCAAGACAGAAAGAAATTTGGGTCACCTTTCTATTATAAGTTTAAGTCACAGAAATGCTTGAAAACACTATTTCTTTTGTCATTAATGTTACTTCTATACATGTTTTGATTAAAGAAGCAAAAAAAATTTTTTCAAAAAAAAAAAAACTGCCTACCTACCTACCCTATATTTTTTCAGGCTGAAAGTGGAAACAAACATATTTTTTTTCTAGGCCTAATTATACCACAAAATCAAAGTGTGTAAATCTGCAATTTAGTACGTCACCAAAGGTTTAAGTACATTCCTACAAAATGTCTTTATCAACATAGCTTTTTGTAAACAACATATAAAATACGATTCTGTTGCTAAATAGAGCAAGTCATTTAGAAATGTTTTACCGAGTATGTGTCTTTATATTCCAGAATCATCAAGCTTTCTAATTCACTGGGAGTTCCATTTATATCTGTATCCAAGAAAGCTGAAATAAACAAAACATAACTTTCAATTTAGCTTAAAGATAGGTAACATGAATTCCACCATATCTGTTTCATATATAAATTTATATAAGCATATACTGATATATGTACTTAACATCAATTAGAAAAAATGACATATCAGACATTGTAAGGCCAATATTTTCACATAGAATTTTCATGACAAGGAGCACACAGCGGATGTGACCGGTCGGCAGGGGATGCTCACTCCTTTATAGCCCCCCATCCCACCTCTGATGTTTTGGAGGTCCGTGTTACCACCGATTTGTTTTCTTTTACTGGATTTTGAGCCCGAGTACTGTTCATTATCTCCATAATTCATACAAAAAATTCTCACAATCAATCCTACATCCTTTACAAAAAACATTAACATGTTTAAGATTGATTTGAGTGACTCGGGTGATTTAATTCAAATTAGTATTTCAAATAATTTAGTTACGAATTAAACTATTGGTTTTGAGATCATGTAGTGGAATCCAACTTTCATCCATAATTGTTGTTTGATGAACACTTTTGTGCTATTGTTAATGGGGGGGGAATGTTTCAGTGATCAGTTTTCCTTAAATTTCTGATATCATGCCAAGAGATTTTCATTATTTTACTGTCAATATTTTAAAAATCAAATATTGAAAGGAGTAAAGCTTGTCACAGTCAAAAACAAACACAGAGCTGAGATTTAAATCCCTGCTATATATAGACCAGGAAGTATAAATACCTGGTAGATAGCACAGGTAACTAGGTCATGTGATCAGAACAACACCCACTTTAGTGGCAGCCATTACTGTCGTAAGAGTCAGGTAATGTTTATATAACAAGTTGCTGTCCTTTAAAAAAGGACTGCAATACGTGGACCATAGGCATGTCTTTTCTAACTGAATTTCAATTAAGAAAATTTCGAGGTGTAAGGAATATTCATGTAGGTTTGTTCATTTTTTCTACAATGATCTGCCTACTTATAACTGATTGTAGTCTCAAAGCAAAATTGTGAAATTTTATCTCGGATTAGCGACCTTTAGTTTTGTCAGTTTAAAAAATCGGGTTATTTTGCTACGTGTAACTCATACTGTCTTGGACTTGACATCTGTTCTGAAATTAAATCAATATGGAAGAAATTTATCAAGAAAAAAAATAGAGATCTGATGGTTTACGAGAAGCACAGCTCTGTAGTATGCAGATTTTTTGTCGGAGCCCCCTCTCCCCCCCCAACACACACACATTAAAAGCTGTTGCTACAGACCTTTATCAAACGATATTTTGTTAGCCGAAACACTAAATTATTTTGCGAGCCTTGATGCACAAAACTAATGCCGGCGAAAACTTGCTAGAATCTTTTAAAAGCTATCTCTATTCGTTGAATGACGTTTTTCATTCAAATTGTTAAGTTACATTTATCTATATACTGTATAACCTCTTAAAATGCTTGTACCACAGAATCAATGTTTAGTTTGTATATAAAAGTGTATTTAAAAAGAGAGAAAATCGGATCTGCCAATGAAAATGTAAATGCGATATGCAGAATTAAAAGCGCGATTTGCCAATGAATTGTATATTTTAATTCGAATGGGGCGAATTATCCTACGGGCAAGTTACCTAAGGTGCGAAGTTTCTAGTATTCTCGCGCATGCGTAGCCTGTCGTTTGCCCAGGGCATCCGGTTTAACCTCGCTTATATATTTACTGCGTGGACCTCAGGGTCCACGCAATAATTATCTATTTAACTTTTTGATATTTTGGTGAAAAATTTACCTAATTAGTATATAGTTAACAATAAATACATGAGGATAGCAATTGATATTTAGCTATATGTTTATTTTATAAAATGAAAAAAAAACCTACCAAGGATTTTAAAGGTCAATGAATAAAGAATTCATAATTCTGCTCTGAGTTTTATGAAGTTACTTCATGTGGACAACTCAGCTCCATCTCTCCACATATTTCATAATTAAGTACAGGGAGAAGTGTTAATCAAAATAATTATGATACAAACATTTTGCTTGATAATAGTCCTTGAGACAAGAAAATTCCAAAGATGCAATGTATTTGCAATACATGTATGAGACCAAAACCCCACCCTGGGGCATGAACCCATGGACTTTGTATTTTACTGTTGGTCAAAAATTTAAAATAATACACAATTATGGACTTCAGTGTAGGTCGATATGTGGTTATAAGGACTCATGGCAATTGATATTGACTTAAGACACAGAATTTCAAAGTGATAGCGACCCAGCCTGCGATGTCGCTATCATTTTCTGTGTCTGAGGTCGATATCAATTGCCATGAGTCCTTATAACCACATATTGACCGTTCACTGATGTCCATAATAGTTATATTATATAATCACTCAAAGTGAATGCACTGACACAGTCCTAACTAAACAGACTTGGCTGTCATTACGTCACAATGGTTAAAAACACGCACATACTATGACGTCACGTTTTACGTAACTTCAGTGCAACCGAATGCTGTGTCGTGCGTTATCATTTTCCGCCGATGCGCTTTCGCGTTGTTATCACAAAAGGAGGAATATCACGTGACGTCCTTTCAGCCAATGAAAATTACGAAAAAAATCTTCTTATATAATAATAATAAAATAACATTAAAACTCTGTAATTGAACAGATAATTTGCCAAACAAATAACCCTAAAAATCAATTTAAAATATGTTATGTTTTTCCTACTGAGCTTTATTCTAAAGCCTAATTAATTCTATACTTCAGAGTCAGAAGTTAAACCATGGACCCCCGTACCAGTGCCCAGGACGTGATGCGATGTGACCTGTGTGAGACCGCTGTGGTACAGATGCACTGTGATACATGTCTTGTCAACCTGTGTACAGCTTGTGTAGGAAAACACATGATATCTGATGAATCCAAGGACCACAAGGTCGTCAAATTTCAGGCCAGGAAATCCACCCCCCTCTACCCTGGATGCAAATCTCATAGCAAACAGCAATGTACAATGCACTGTGATCAATGTGACATTCCTGTTTGTACAAAGTGTCTAGCATCTGATCAACATCTGTGTCATAAATTATCAGAAATCTTACAGATTGTGGATGAGAAAAAAGTCAAGATTTTCAAAGAACAAACTGAATTAAAGGAGAAAATTTATCCAACCTACCAGGACATTGCCTCTGATGTACAAAACAGAATGAGTCAGTTAGAAAAGGAATATGGAGATCTCTCAACAGCCATAACAAAACATGGAGAGGACTGGCACAGAGAAATTGACAAACTTGTCAAGAAACTTAAAGCTGAAGTTGATGAGATGAAAAACACACAGTTACAAACTCTACAAAAACATCTGGATGAAATAAACAAGGCAATGTCTGAAATCAAGGATAAAATAGATTTAGTTGAAATAGCTATAAACACTAATGATTTGTCAAAACTATTTAAAGTCACTTCAAATGTAAATATATACAGAAGCCTTCCACAAAAACTAGTACCAACTTTATCCAAATTCATTCCAGAAAAAATTCAAGGAGAAAAACTCAGTAAATTGTTTGGAACATTATCATCAAGTTCTTTAACTTCAGATAAAGATGGCTACAGCATGAAGACAACACAGAAATCATCAGAAGCTGGATCCTCTCCTCCAGTCAAACAACTTCTTGATGAACCAGAAACTGTTACCACCATAGACACTGGGTATGATAGATACCTTTTCAATGTGGCCTGTCTGAGTGATGAAGAAATCTGGACAAGTGGAAATGAAAACACCATGAAACTCTACAGCACCAATCAGGGATCACTACTCAAGTCAATCAGAACCAAGTCAAGGAACAATCCAACTGACATAGCAGTGACAAAAAGTGGAGATCTAGTTTATACTGATTATGGTGATAGAACTGTGAACATTGTGAAGAGTGAGAAGATAGAGGAGATGATCAGACTACAGAACTGGAGACCTTGCTTTGTCTGTAGTACCTCCTCTGGTGACCTCCTGGTTATCATGATCAGTGATGATTACAAACAAACAAAAGTTGTCCGTTACTCTGGCTTCACAGAGAAACAAACCATTCAGTTTGATGATAAAGGTAAACCTCTCTATTCATCTGGTTCCTATAGCAGATACATAACAGAGAACAGGAACCTGGATATTTGTGTGTCTGAATGTGAAGCTAAAGCAGTAGTGGTGGTCAATCAGGCCGGGAAACTGAGATTCAGGTACACTGGACATACTCCTGCTCCAAAGAATCAAACATTCTATCCACGAGGAATTGCCACAGACAGTCAGAGTCACATCCTTACAGCTGATTGTTACAATGACTGTGTCCACATCATAGACCAGGATGGACAGTTCCTCTGTTACATAGATTGTGGACTGAGTGAACCCTGGGGACTGTGTACAGATACAAATGACAATCTGTTTGTTGCTCATTGGGAGAACAGACAAGTGAAGAAAATAAAATACATGTGTTGATATTAGGGCTGTGTATTGATCAAATAAAACCTATATGACACAATACAATACAACTTAAAAGCCACTATGCAGTGTATCAATGCTTTTTAATTAGTTGTATCACGTGTATTTGAAAACTTCCTATAAATTAATTTTTAAAAATAATGATCCGAATCTTATCATCAGAGAGAATTTGTAGTTAACATGGTTAAGTTGTTATATGATTAAATTGATGCATGTAGTAACATTACAAATTACTCTAAATGTGATGAGATCAAATGTAAGGAATGACATTCATTTTTGTACATGTATATTATGTCCTTTATTACTATGACCAAACAATGGCTGAAGAAACCATATTAGTTCTAAGAACCACCACTACAGGTGAACACAACCCATCCTGTAGACTATCATATAGCATGCTAGCATAAAATTGTGTAATTTTGGATGCAAATGCAACCATTTTAGATACAACTTGGAACACTGAATGTCTGGTTTATATCATTTTTGTTAAACCACTTTGAGCAATTTCTGTATGGTAAAACATGATGATGGTTATTATGAAGTCAATGGGACCTACATGTATGAAATCACTTCGGTATATCTGTAATACATTATATCCATATAAGAAATTTGTTAAATCAAAATAGCTTGGGATCCAACATAACCTCGATATATCGGTAAATTTGCTATATTCCTGTTTTTCAAAACCTAGTTTTAATAAATTCATGATTAATATACAAATATGGACTCAATGTAGGTCAATATGCATTTATAATGACTAGGGGTGCAACAATACGCCTACCCCATGATACGATACGTATCACGGTATTCAGTTTACAATACAATACATATCACGATACGTGACATATTGGGTTAAAAAGTCCAACGTTTGTCATCATATACTTTAAACTAAAAAAAAATTATCAAATGTTCATTACACTTATTACGGACCAATTGAACTGAACCGTGATATCAGTTTCAGGTATCGTGAACCGAACTGTGGAGAAATAAACCGTGGTATACCGTCAAACGGTTTATTGCTGCATTCTAAATAAAGACCCAGGGTGACAGATATTGACCGAAGATACATAGAGTATATTGACCGTGGGTGCTATTATTCACTTTCAGCGCTCGTTATTCTAAAATAATTACTTCGTATTAACCAATCAGATTGCCGGATTTCACGAAGTTATATAATATTCCTTAATAAAGTCTATCTTACCTAATCCAAAGTGTACAGTCAGGTCTACATCCATATTTACACCCGCACCAAGAAATACAACTCCTTGTCTGAAAAAAGAGAAAAAAGTCAGCGTGTTTGAACAAGAGGCATCTGCAATGAATAGTTGCTGAGAAAACTGCGAATTTTTTTTTAACAGACACAGACAGATAAACAAGGGTAAAACAGTATACACCCCTCTTTGGAGTGAGTGTATTTAAGGAATGTTTTAACTTTCATGTGAGTTACTAGTGTGTGAATCACACAGACTTGTCGCAAGCATTTTCATGAAGTGCACCAGCGCTTCATGAAAAATATGCCTACGTGCAGTCTGTCGATTCACACACCAATAATTCTTTAAAATTGACTTCAAAACATTCCTTACATTTACATTTTATATGTTTGGAGGCACCAAAAGTATACTTTATTTGAATTTCTCGCTGCCCTATATTCTTATACTTTCATTAACATCGCTGTAGACTAATTGTGACGTCACGTTAGCGCATATTTCTCCGTGTATATTTCTACACATCAGTATACACAAAAATGGTTTTTAAATCAATTCTAGAGTTGGCTTACTAGAATCAAAGTACTGAAAGTACTGGGAAGCGCTAAGCATATTGATTTGAAATTCGTCAGAATTATTTTAATTTTAAATGTCCTGTTGTATTGAATTTTAAGCGATATTTTGACAGTGTGATAGCGCTAGGTCGAGCACAGTTGTCAAAAAGTACATGTATGCGAGTCCTGAATATGTGAACCCCGTTGGGATAATTCAATTCAATTCACTTTATTGACAATTACCATGTCGGCATACAGTCATGAACATGAATAACATTATACAATTATTGAATTTTGATGAGGTCTCCTCGTGTCTATACAGACCTAGGATATGAAATTCATCAATGTCTCATGCTTTTTTTTTCAAGCATTATACATTATCTTCGTATGTAAAAAGATCAATCAATTTCACTTACAGTACTGTACACGAAATTGCAAGAAAATATTTTTGCATGTAAAATTATTTTCTTTTCACATTGCCTTGTAGGAATCTATAAGAGGTCGTATTTGCGTATAAATTGCAATTTATTGGAAGGGATATGGTAATCCAGTTATTAGATGAAATTTAAACTCTAAATGTACATGTATAAAAAAAAATAGCTATACTTTTGCTGGAAAATGTATACATTGTATTTGAAAAAAAATGTGAACACTTGAAATGTCGCTAAAATTCCTCTCATTTACGTGCAACACTGAAAGATAAAATCTTCTGGTGATCGTATTTAATTATAAATAACAAATTCATTCTGCGTTTAATACAAGTTTTTTTCAAATTGAAGATTGGCATCATGTATGTAACAACGTCATATGACAAAACTCAATGTAAATGAATTGAAATCCGTAGAATTAACAACCCTTTATGTCAAAGATAATATGTAAGTATACATTTTAGTATAAAGATATTATATTTATCTTTGGCTGCATTTCATTTCCGGAATTTTTGGTAATTATCAACTTTTCATTTTCGACATTTTTTAGTTTTCATTTCCAACATTTTTTTGTTTTCATTTCCGACATTTTTCAAATACATATATACGTAGTACCTATATTAACAGATTTGATAACTTTACTTATGAAAAATTTAAAGGATTAAATAATAAATAAATCATTGAAATCTAATTTTGTTAATCTATCAGTGACTTGGACATAAGTATGGTGCTGTCACCGACATTTAATTTAGTGCACATTAAATGTGGTGAAAAAGTTTTATGCTCATTGAACATTTTTACCTAGACTTAGTGCTAAATGTATGCATATATGTAGAGATGTTTTTTTTTTATCTTTTATTAATATTTTGGTACTTTTAAAATTCCATTTTCTTTTACTTAGATACCATTGAATTGCCGCACAGGTAAAATCCGGAAATGAAAAGAAAATTATGTCGGAAATGAAAACAAAAAAAGGTCGGAAATGAAATTTAAAAATGTCGGAAATGCTATGCATATTTCCGGAAATGAAATGCAGAGTTATCTTTTGATGCTATCCTGTAATCTCTCATTTTCAAATATATGATTTATAGCGTACATGTATTTGCAGTAACATTTGTGTTGATTTACAATACCTGTCACTCAATAGTAAATGATACGTTTTTGCAATTAAAATTTTACACTTTTCTTCTTTGGATTAAAAATACCTCATTAAACCCCCAAAAGTATTTTTGACTATTGTTGAAATAATTTAAAATGCTTCAATATTTTTTGCGGACGCTTGATGCTTTTCACCATTTTCTACTTGTGTATGTTTGATCTTCACCAAGAAAGAAATACAATATTAATCTCAAGTATTAATAAATCTTCATGAAGGTATACAACATTATTTTATTCTGTTTTTATTGAGTCTTCATTAAGAATTGGCAACACAGCTGAGACACATCTTTACATAAACTATTTATTCCTAGTTCCCTACTTCAAGTATTACACCGTTTGCTTAAGGATTTCCATCCCTAATGGGACCTGATTCTCTACCCTTAAATGTACGACAAGTACATAATACACTGATATCATATTAAAGCATTTTATAGTGGAAAAGGATTGTCCACGAGAAAGTTTTAAAAATGTCATTAATTAAGCATCTGTTAATTAACAAAGATTGCATTGAAGTCTATGGGGAAAAGCGTTTTTTTTTTTTTTAAATAAAAATTCAAATAATTTGAATATCAATAAATCCTGCGGTGGGAAGATGCGTTGAAAAATTAAAAATAGAATGACAATTGAAAACAATTTTTTTACCGGCTAATTTTTTTTTATTGATTAAAAAAGGGGAGATAACTCTTACCAAAATTCAAGGTCATAAATTAGGACATATCCCACTATACATACTAATAGTAATAAATGGGAAGTATGTCTAAATAAACTGAGTATTCAATGCCTACATATCAGTTAAGTATTTAATTTCACTGAATTTGTTCCCATTAGGGTTTGAATACCTTAACATTTAACTTATTATCAACGCCCAAACCCTTATATGCTGGTGTTCCCCAGGGCTCAGTTTTAGGACCACTTTTGTTTTTAATTTATGTTAATGATGTTGCTGATAATATGGTTACTTTTTGTAGATTATTTGCTGATGATAATTCTTTGCAGCATTCGTCTCATAACATGAAAATAATTGAAAGAGACTTAAACAAAGATTTAAATGCTCTCGAACTATGGTCTCAAAAATGGTTATTGAAATTCAATCCCTCTAAAACAAAAGTAATGAATGTTTAGCACAAAGAAAAATATAGAATATCCTAAGCTTCTATTTCAACAATGTGAATTAGACTTCATTACTGAACACAAACACCTCGGAGTACTATTTTCACACGATGCCAGTTGGTCACCACATATTGATAATATACTGTCTATTGCTTACAAAAAATTGTTTCTTTTAAAAAAATTAAAATTTAAAGTAAATCGAAAAACACTCTCACTCATGTATACATCATTCATAAGACCGCAACTTGAATACGCTTCGGTGGTGTGGGGGTGTTGTCAACAGGGCGATAGTGATAAATTAGAAAAACTTCAACTTTATGCAGCTAGAATTGTAGCAGGGTTAACAACTATAGCTTCCAAAGATTCACTTTATTTTGAAACGGGATGGGAACCGCTTAGTTGTAGAAGACAAGAAGCTAGATTAAAAACAATGTTCAAACTTCATAATAATTTAGTGCCAGAATACTTAATGGACATCCTTCCAAATATGCGCTGTAACACATCTATCTACTCGACAAGAAATTCTCAAAATTATGATATTCCAAAGTGTCGATTACAAACTTATAAGTCTACGTTTATTCCTACTGTAGTTAACGAATGGAACTCCATTCCACTTGAAACTCGAAATTTACAGTCAATGTCGAAATTCAAATCTAAAATTAGTAATAAAAAATCTAGATCTGCCCCACCTTCTTACTTTGATTACGGTAACAGAAGACTTAATGTTCTTCAAACCAGACTACGACATAATTGTGTATTAAATAACGACCTTTATAGATGCAATTTAATATCAAGTCCTTGTGCACGTGCGGTAAAGTTGAGGACACATATCATTATTTTTTCGTATGTCCAAAGTATGTGAACGCCAGAAATGAATTTTTAAATAAATTTTTACAATTTGATAAAATCCACATACTAGATACACGTCTTATTATGGGGGGTTGAATCACTGAGTGCTGCAGAGAATGAACGTCTCTTTTCTTTTGTTCAAACATTTATTAAGCATACTGGTAGATTTCCTTGTTAATTACTGTACCAATATTAATATATGAATTTGTTCGACTTTTATATATTCATACATAATTATGCAAAATGCATCAATTTGTTTACTTTTGCAAATTCTGAATCCTTTATATAGCATGTTTAACTGTGACAATATCA